AGGAGGCCTTCGTGGCCCATCGGGGCTTCAAGGAGCCCGGGGGGTTCCACGGGTCCCGCGAGGCCGAGCTGGGCCGGAACCGGAACCTCTTCCGCTCCTTCCGGCGCGGCCTCCGGCTGCGCTACCCCCGCTCCCCCCGCCGCTGCTGAGCCCCCCGGGACCCCCGGGGCCTCTGCCCTCCTGCTTCTGGGTCCTGCCAGAGCCAGGGGGTTGGACACGGCTTCGGGGACCTGTTGGCCACATCTCCATGGACCTGTTGGCTATGTCTCCATGGACCTGTTGGCCATGTCTCCATGGACCTGTTGGCCATGTCTCCATGGACCTGTTGGCTATGTCTCCATGGGCCTGTTGGCCATGTCTCCATGGACCTGTTGGCCACGTCTTCGTGGACCTGTTGGCCACGTTTTCATGGACATGTTGACCCCATCATCATGGACCCATTGGCCATGTCTCCATGGACCTGTTGGCTACATCTTCATGGACCTGTTGGCCACGTCTTCGTGGACCTGTTGGCCACATATCCATGGTCGTGGTGTCCTACCACAATGATGGTGTTGGCCACATCTTCATGGACCTGTTGGCCACGTCTTCATGGACACGTTGACCACGTCTTCTTGGTCGTGGTGACCTCATCATCGTGGACCCATTGGCCATGTCTCCATGGACCTGTTGGCCATATCTCCATGGCCCTGTTGGCCACATCTCCATGGACCTGTTGGCCATATCTACATGGACCTGTTGGCTACATCTTCATGGACCTGTTGGCCACGTCTTCATGGACCTGTTGGCCATATCTCCATGGACCTGTTGGCCATATCTCCGTGGACCCATTGGCCATGTCTCCATGGCCCTGTTGGCCATGTCTGCATGGACCTGTTGGCTACATCTTCATGGACATGTTGACCACGTCTTCGTGGTCGTGATGACCTCATCATCGTGGACCCATTGGCCACATCTCCATGGACCTGTTGGCCATGTCTTCATGGTCATGGCGACCTCATCATCGTGGACCCATTGGTCATGTCTCCATGGACCTGTTGACCACGTCTTCATGGACCCATTGGCCATGTCTCCATGGCCCTGTTGGCCACATCTCCATGGACCTGTTGGCCATATCCTCATTGACCTGTTGGCCATGTCTTCATGCACCTATTGGCCACATCTTCATGGTCATGGTGTCCTACCACAGTGATGGGCCACATCTTCATGGCCCCATTGGCCACGTCTTTGTGGATACATTGACCACATATTTATGGACGTGGTGGCCACATCTTCATGGCCCTTTTGGCCGTGTCTTCATGGACCCATTGGCCACATCTCCATGGCCATGGTGTCCTGCCACAACGATGGAGTTGGCCACCTCCTCATGGCCCTGTTGGCCACCTCTCCATGGCCTTGGCATCCTCCTCCACCGCTGGTGTCGCCGATGTTGGGCGCATCTTCCCGACCTGGACCTTCCTGAGGCAACTCTGACCTCGGCCTTGGCCTTGGTGGCCACACGGGGCTCGGGCGCCATCTTGTCCTCACCGGGTCTAACGGGCCAAGACGTCGTTGTCCAGATGCTGCTGCGTGTCCGTGTCTCTCTGGGGGGGGGCGAGGT